GTAGTAGTAGTAGTAGTAGTAGTAGTAGTAGTCGTAGTCGTAGTCGTAGTCGTAGTCGTAGTCGTAGTCGTAGTCGTAGTCGTAGACGTAGTCGTAGTCGTAGTCGTAGTCGTAGTCGTAGTCGTAGTCGTAGTCGTAGTCGTAGTAGTAGTAGTAGTAGTAGTAGTAGTAGTAGTAGTAGTAGTAGTAGTAGTAGTAGTAGTAGTAGTAGTAGTAGTAGTAGTTGGAGGAGGTGGAGGAGGAGGAGGAACAGCGGGGAGGTGGTGGAGGAGGAGGAAAGGCGGGGAGCGGCGTTGCACGCCTACGTGTTCTCGGAGGAGTATGTGGCTGAGTGTTGTGAGCAAGGACGCGTTCTTGCACATTGTATCGAAGACGCCTGCGGCGAATCACCGCCGCCCCCTGCCTTTGTGGAAGCGCCTATGCGGCCGAACGTTGAGGCCAGACCTGCCAAGCTATCGGACCATGTGTTCCCCGAATCGGTTTAGAAAGCCTTCGGGGAACACGTGGGCATCTTGAAGGTCATCTTGGCCGCCTGGAGGCCATTTTGACTCTTGCGGGCCTTCTTGGAGGACGTCTTGGAGGGCTCGTGGGCCGTCTTGGAGGCCATCTTGAGCGTCCTGGAGGCCTCTTGGGCCGTCTTGGGGGCCTCCTGGGGCCGTCTTGGGCGCCTCTTGGGCCGTTCTGGAGCCACCTTGGAGGCCTCTTGGGCGATCCTTGGGCGATCTTTGGGAGCTCTTGGGCCGTATCGGGCCGGCGGAAGGCCGACACGAAGCGAATGTCAAAATCCTTCAACAACCTTAGGACAATCACTCTTTCTGGCCTTTTCTGGCCTTCCTGGAGGCCCTCTTGGATGCCTCTTGGGCCGTCTTGGGCCAGCTGCGAGCCACCTTCGGCCATCTTGGTGGGCTCCTGGCCCGTCTGACGCCGTCGGAAGCCGTTTCGGGGGCCTTTCTGGGCCTACTTGGGGCCCTCTTGGGGTGCTCCAGGGCCGTCTTAGAGGCCGTCGTGGGTGTCTTCGAGGCCTATTGGGCCGTCTTGGTGCCCTCTTGGGGCCGTCTTGGGGGCCTCTTGGGCCGTGATGGGGCCATGTTGGAGGCCTCTTGGGCGATCTTGGGGCGACCTTGGCGGCCTCTGGGGCCGTCACTGGCCGTCGGAAAGCTCAAAAGGCGCAAATGCCAAAATCTGTCAAAAACCTAAGGAACATCAAGGATTTTGGCCTCGTCGGGCCTTCCTGGAGGAACTCTTTTCGGCCTCTTGGGCCGTCTTGGAGGCCTCTTGCGGCCTTTCGGGCCGCCTTAGACCATATTGGGGCCATCTTGGGCCGTCTTGGATGCATCTTGGGGCCATCTTAGCCGTCTTGGAGGCCATCTTAGCTGTCTTGGAGGCATCTTGCAGGCCATCTTGGGCCATCTTCGCGATTGTCTGAGGATGTCCCGAGCGAATCGGCCGTTTTTGGCGATGGCAACCACTTCTTCCGAGTGGCCGGCGGGACGTGACGAAGCCCCAGGGGGAGTTCTTTTGGAAAACGAACCAAAACCAGAACCGAATGGGTCCAGCACGCCAGGCACCCCTGCGATGAATAACGGAAAGAGCGAGGTACGAGTGATGACGGTGTGTGTGTTGGGCGAAGCCCCTTGAGGGGGGGGGTCCAGGGGGGGGGCGTACGGGGAGCAAACGGGTTTAATGGCCGTTTTGGGCCGTTTCCCGAAGGTTTTTGGATGTTTTTCGGGTTCCCCCCCAAGACGGCCCAAGAGCGCTCCAAGAGAGCCCAAGACCGCCCAAGACGGCCCGAGAGCCCCCCAAGAGGCGCCCAAGGGGCGTCCCAAGAGGGCCCCAAGAGGCCCAAATCATAGATTCTCCAGGGGGAAACGTCTATTTCTAGCATATACGGTTTTTCGGCTTTCACGGCGTTGACGACGGCCCCAGAGGCCCCCAAGACGGCCCAAGAGGCTCCCAAGAGGGCCCCAAGACGGCCCCAAGAGGGGGACCACGAACCGAAAAGTCTAGCCTATCGCCCCAAGACGCTCCCGGGAGGCCCCCACAGCCCCCCAAGAAGCCCCAAGAGGCGTCCGACGAGGCCATCAGGAGGCCAAAATCATTGATTTCCTATGGGAAAGCGTTCATTTTTAGCATGCACGGCTTTTCGGCGTCCACGGCGTTGAAGACGGTCCAAGAGGCCCCCAAGACCGCCCCAAGACGGCCCAAGAGGCTCCCAAGAGGCCAGAGGCGCCCAAAACGGCCCAAGAGGGCCCCAAGACGGCCTCAAGAGGAGGACCACGAACCCGAAAGTCTAGCCTTTCGCCCCAAGAAGCTCCCAGGAGGTCCCCAGAGCCCCCCAAGAAGCCCCAAGAGGCCCCCTAGAGGTTCCCAAGAGGCCACCAGGAGGGCCCGAAAAGGGTCCCAATAGGACTCCCAAGAAGCCCCAGAGACGCCACATAAAGAACGATCGGTAACGCAAAAAGCTCTTCACGCCAAGGCTCCCAAGAGCGAACGGTGACGTAAACAAGCTGATGAGACCAGGGCTCCCAGCAGAGAGCGGTGACATAAGAAGTTCCTGACACCAAGGCCCAGCCAAGGCTCAGGACCGGGCGGCAACGCAACCATCTCTGAACACCACGGCTCCCAAGAGCGATGGGGTGACGCAACAAGCTCTCAACGCCAAGGCTCCCAGCACGAACGGTGGTGTGAGTACCTTCGGCTTCTGTTGCTGCGGCGCTCTCTCCGTTTCTGCGCCCGGCCCAGGTCGACAGGGCGTTGGCCGGATCTTGGCGTTGCTCTTACAAGTGGTGTTTCGTCAAATTCGTGTTTCCGCGCCCGATCCCCGCAGCTGCCGCGCTATGTTGTACAGTTTACGCAGTCCTGTGAGCACCCAGGAGCCCTCCGTCCCCTGACTAACAAAAAACCTTCGGGCCATCCCGCCACCGTGCGCAAGTCGGGGGCATGCAGCCGATTGGATGTCCGCGCTGAGCTCCTCGTGGGAGACCTCTCGGGGGCCTCCCGGAGGCCGTCTGCGAAGGATTGCAAAAAAAACCAAGGACTGGAAAAAAAAAACAGGATTGCAAAAAAAAACAGGGTGTTTGTTTGCAATCCTGGTTTTTGTTTGCAATCCTTCGGGTTTTTTTGCAATCCTTTTTGCAATCCTTGGTTTTTTGCAATCCTTCGCTGGTTTTGGGCGGGGGCCTCTCGGGGGGCCCCTGCCGGGGGCCCCCTCTCCTGGGGGCCTCTGGCTGCGCCGCAGCTTTCCCCCTCCCCGCCGTGCCGGCGCGCCGGCCCGAGGCCCGAGCGACGGGTGCCACAGCGGGATCGCTGAAGGCACGTAAGACGACGCGAAGATCGGGACAAAATCGGATCGGGATAATTCGAAATCTCTGAGAGTCGGCGGGTTTGGAGGATGTATTGGGCGCCGCGGCCGCTCCAGAGCGTTCCGGAACGCTCTGAGGGCGCTCCGGAACGCTCCGGAGCGACTTATCCCGATCCTAGCGTTGTTTTACGCGCGCCTTCATCTAGGGTGCCCTTGTGTCCTTGCCGCTGAGGCTCGTCCTTGCCATGATCACTGGTCGCCCGCCGCCCTCAAAAAGCCCAACTCAAGGGTCTTGCGTTTGACTGTAGAGCCGGACCGAGGCACAGGGCCGAGGTCGGCTCGGGGAGGCACCCCCACTGCTCTTCGCGTCTGTCGGCTGCTCTCGTGCGTCCTGGGGAGGGTTCGGAGGAGGAAAAGGTACCGATGCCGCCAACCTTCCCGCGTCAGCACGGCCGAGTTCGCCTCGAGATCTTGGTCAGAACGCGCCCCAGGAGAGGTCCGTGGAGTAGCAGTATCGGTACCTTTTGGTTCCCCCAAAGGGTACCCTTGGATGTTCTGTCTGTTTTGGCCGGCGGAGGGTGTCCTGTTCTTGACGGGCGCGCCTCTGGCCTAGGACCGACTGGCCAAGCTCGAAGACACGGGCAGTTGGTGCATTGCCGATCTCAACCGCTTTTCGCTGGCGACGCGTTTCGGACTCTGGGCCCTCTTCTGGGCCAAAAGGCTGCGGTGTCCCACCCGCGTGCCGTGCAGCGCGCGAGCAAGGCAGCAAGAGTTAAGTCGGGCCTGTCCCCCTACAGGGGGAATTTCGACGAACAATAAAAGATACCCCCAAAAAACTAGTCACAACATAGTCCGGGGACGATTTTTTAGACTATGTTTGCAGATTTGGGGGGGTATTATGTTCTGAGTATTTCATGGTTTTTCGCCCCAAATCCCCCTGTAGGGGCATTGCTTTTCGTTATATTTATATATCTCTATATATATATATATATATATATATGTGTGTGTGTATGTCTGTCTGTCTGTCTGTCTGTCTGTCTGTCTGTCTGTATGTATGTATGTATGTATGTATGTATGTATGTATGTTTGTATGTATGTATGTATGTATGTATGTATGTATATATATATGTATATATAACATATATTTGCGGAGTATTTTCTGAGTATTTCATTATTTTTCACCCAAAATCCCCCTGTAGGGGGACACGCCCGACTGAAAGCAGGAGGTCAAAGCGCGCGGGCGTGGTGCGCGTGCGGTGCAGCGGGCGGCACGGCCCCGGCACGGCCGGGCGCAGCCCGCGGAGCCGGCCGGGCGGCGCGCGCCGTGGCGCGCGAGCGGCCGCGGGGAGGAGGGCCGCGGGGAGGAGGGCGAGCAGTCGCGGGAGGGGAGGCTCTGTCCTTCCTCCCTCTCTCCTCCTCTATCCTCCCACCCTCCTCCTCCTCCTTCTCCCCTCCTACCTCCTCCTCCTCCTCCTCCTTCTCCTCCTCTCCGCCCACCTCTCCCCTCCTCTCCTCCGACTCCTCCTCCTCCCTCCTCCCTTCTCCGCTCTCCTCCTCCTCCTCCGCCTCCTCCGCCTCCGCCTGTTCCTCCTCGCCTTCCTCCTCCAGAGGCGTTGCTTCTCATGCTGTTGCTGCTGCTGCTGCTGCTGCTGCTGCTGCTGCTGCTGCTGCTGCTCGTGCTCCAGCTTGTGCTGTTGCCGCCGCCGCCGTTGCGGCAGCCACCGGTGCTGCGATCGCAGCCGCGCCGTCGCTGCGGCTGTTCCTCCAGCTGCAGCCTCGTGTCCTCGTTTCTGTTGTTTCTCTCTCTCTCTCTCTCTTTCTCTCTTTCTTTCTTTTGCTCTCTCTCTCTTTCTCTCTCTCTTTTTCCCTCTCTCTCTCTCTCTCTCTCCCCATCCCCTTCTTGCTCCTCGCAACTCTGCCCCTTTCTCGTCTCCTCTTCGTCTTATGCTCAAGTAGCCATGATGGGTAAAAGAGACGCGTGGTCAGCATAGCGTACCCCGCACAACAGTCACAGCTTGCCGCCCTGTTCATAACGGACAGTGCGTGGTGCATTTCAGCACCGCTTGGCTTGAAAGAGCGTGTGAAACAGTCAAAGTGGCCAGCGCGTGACGCTGAATTGACAAAGAGTTGCAAGAATGCGCCCCAAGATTTCGCACAGCCCTCTCTGGCTTGTCAACGACATGGTCGCGCTGATGTTCTCACTCCAGGTGATTCAGTGGATCGCGGTTCTGGGGCGATTCTATCGCGCTCCATTTGTGGATCACGATGGTGCGCGTGTCTAGTGCGATATTGCAACATCGAGGGCGCAAACGACCCCATCGAGCCCGGTACTTTCTCGCACACGCGAGCAAGCACGCGGCGTGCTCGAGCAAAGAAGACGAGGCAATCACTGAGCGGACGGAGCTGCGCACCACGGGCGTGGGGGACCACTTGCGCGCGGTGTGTTCTCATTGCGAACACGCTGACGTCGCAGTCACGAGCTGCCAAGGCAGCACGGGTGCGATTGGTGCAGACCAGGGCTGGACCTAAACGGTGTTTTTGCGGTTTCGTGGGCCGTTTTCGTTTCGACTTCGTTTTGCGGTGAAGGCGGATCGAAGACAAAACGAGGGAAAACGACAACAACACGAAAACGAAAAACACCGTTTAGGTTCAGCCCTGATGTAGACGGGCTTGGGCAAGTACAGCTCGCGTGTTCCATAACGGCTTTCCCAGGTGGTCGGCAAGCCGATGGGCTGATGGGTGTGAAAGAGCGGGCTCGCTTCTTTCAGCAAGTGCGCAACGGAAGACACACAGTTTCCTCTGTCCACGCACTTGCGTTACTTGCTCCTCCGAATGGCTTGCAACGACCGCAGTAAACAGCCCATTGACGGTGATCGTTTTCTCATTCGTTCTTTGGCGCCGATCGGCACGGGCCTTCGCACCCCCATCCGCCCCCATGGCGTAGATCTGGGCCGTTCTAGGCGCCTGTTTCAAGCAGGTGGAGTCCCTCCCACGGGACGCACTGTTGCAAACCGTCGCATGAAGCAGAGGTCCAGAGCCAGACCTCCCCCCCCTTCCCCCCCTCTTCCGCTCCATGCCGAGACGCCGAAGAGGAAAAGGTTCGCGTGGACCGCGAGCATGTTGTTGTCCCACATCAGGCGCCGGCCTGAGGAGCTCTCAGCACCACCCGTGCCCCCGAGTGCCTGGCCCCCCGGCTGCTCCGCTTGATCGATCCTGCGCCTCCTCCTGGCTCACAATGGCGGTAGGGCCCCTCGCTTGTCCTGCGAGGGGCCCTGCGCCAGTGCTGCCCTCAGTGGGCCACAGAAGCGGCAGAGCCGTTTTCGTTTGACAGTTTTTTCGAACAGGTGTCGCTTGAACATGGAAGCCGTGAAAAGACGGCGACTGGAAACCGCAAACATCGGCTATGGTTAAGTCGGGCGTGGCCCTCTACAGGGGGAACATCCAAAAATGGTCAAACATAGTCTGGGGATGATTTTTTTTGATGATATTTGAATATTTGGGGGGCATTTTTGGATTATTCAGTTTTTCGCCCAAAATCCCCCTGTGTGGGGGACACGCCCGACCTAATGGAAGCCGTACAGTCGGGGCCCTGAAGAAGGAACCCTTTTCGTTGGGGAGGGGCTCGGTGTTCCTTGATCGTTCTGCCGTTTGCCTTCAGTTTTCCCGAGGCGTTCCATCGGGAACCGACGTTCAGCTTATGCGAGAAAGGGGCCTCGTTCCTTATTTGCAGTTCCCTAGGTCAACGCCCCGACGGTAACAAGACGGCGACTGGAAACGGCAAAAAACGGCCACGGGAGCTCCACGGCACCGTGCTCGCTCCCGCCGGCCTCTGGCTCGCGTGCCGCAGCTCGGCTGTGAGCTCCACCGGCGGGCGGCGGCGACGACGACGACGACGCCGCCGCCGACGCCGCCGCCGACGCCGACGCCGACGCCGACAACGGCGCCGACGACGGCGCCGACGCCGCCGCCGACGCCGACGCCGCCGACGCCGACGCCGCCGCAGACAACGGCGCCGCCGCCGACGCCGACGCCGACGCCGCCGACGCCGACGACGACAACGGCGTCGACGCCGCCGCCGCCGCCGCCGCCGCCGACGCCGACGCCGACGCCGACGCCGACGACAGGCCCCAGGGCTCTCTCGAGGCCTCCAAGGCCCGCAGGATAGCCTCCGAGTCGGGCCCGCAGGGTGCCGCAGGCCACTGGCGGGGGCCCACGGGAGACCCACCTGGGAGTTCGGGCAGGGCACGCTCAGTCAAATGTGGTGTGCATGGGTCTGCGATGGTCAAACTTTGCGAAGTAAGGCGGTGCCATCCTCGGAGGTGCCTTCCTCGGTGGTGCCCTCCTTCATTCGCAGCATGGAGGTCGAGAGCCTGCAGAAAACAGCTCAGTTCGTCAGGTGGCTCCGTGCAGTCTAGATCATCTGGATCACGCTCGCTGGAAGCCCACGATTCGCGCACATGTCTAGCAGCAGCACGGGCCATCGCGGAGCACAAGTTCCTGGGGGTACCTCCTCTGGGGCGCTGTTCTTCACTCGCCCGTCTGAGGATCGATACTTGGTAGGGTTCTGGCGGGCCTCGGGGGCGTGATCACGTCGACCTCCTCGCCCTCGGCCTCGAGTCTCCCCGACCAGACGCCCCATCCCGATACAGCCGGCCCGGATTAGCAGGATGACCCTGCCAGGTCAAGGGCACCCTTGTGTCCTGGGTCTCGCGACCCATGCCTCCGACATTCCTGTGGCACCGTGGCCCTCGGAAGGGTCCCGTGTCCTCCTCGCGTGTCCTGTCCAGTCGAGTCCGACTGTGCTCAAGAAGGTGATGGGAGCCTTCGCTGCGCTGTCCAAATGCACTTAGTCAGAGGGCAGCTGTCGCAGCTGGGGGAGGCGCGCAGAGGGCCGCCGCGCACGCACGCTGCCACGCAGGAGGAGGAGGAGGAGGAGGAGGAGGAGGAGGAGGAGGAGGAGGAGGAGGAGGAGGAGGAGGAGGAGGAGGAGGAGGAGGGAGAGGAGGGAGAGGAGGGAGGAGGGGTAGGAGGAGGAGGGAGGAGGGAGGAGGGAGGAGGGGAGGGAGAGGTGAGGAGGAGGAGAGGAGGAGGGAGGAGGAGGAGGAGGGGAGGAGGAGGAGGAGGAGGAGGAGGAAGAGGAAGAGGAGGCAGGAGGGGCCGTGCCGCAGGCCGCAGGGGTCCCGCCCGTGAGCGCTGCCGTGGCGTCGCTGGAGACGCTGACGGCCCGCGGCTGCCTGCAGGCCCACGGCATGACGGAGCTGGCCCTGGATACGTGCCCCGCCCCCTGGAGGGGAGGAGGAGGAGGAGGAGGAGGAGGAGGAGGAGGAGGAGGAGGAGGAGCAGGAGGAGGAGGAGGAGGAGCAGGGTGACGGGGAGGGGTAGGTGGAGGTGGATCGCTCCTCCACCAAACACCGCCCCACCCACCAAACGCCACCCCATCCACCAAACGCCACCCCACCCACCAACACACCGCCCCCCAGACACTAGACACCGCGGGAGCCGTCCGAACAAGGCAGAGGGGGTTGGGGGTAACGGGCGTGACCCGGCTGCGAGGGGGCCGGTAAGGTCACGATCCACGCCGGCGCCGTTTGGGAATGCTTAGAAGGGCGTCATCGCGAAGACGGGGCGAGGTGCATGTTTCGAGACGCTTCGCATTCGCCGCCCGCCCATTCCAGTTCTGCCTGGAAGAGGCGAAGACGGCTCCCAGACTGGATGTTAACATTGAGGCAACAGGAAAAGGCCTTCCCGCAGGTGTGTGAGAGAGAGAGAATGTATTTGATATTTCTTCCTGCGTTCCATGCCTCGTCCATCCCGTCACCGATTGGGCTCAGGTATGCCATGTGGCGGATCGAGGATGCATGCCGTTGGGTCGGCGGCCTGTCATCACTCCAGCGGATCCGCGATGTGGACGCTGGCGCTCCGGGCCCCTGCTCCGCACTCGCAGCAGGACGCCAGCGGCCCCTGCGCCGCGGCGGCCCTCGTCCCGCCACGTTTTGGCGAGGGCTAGAGCGGAACTTCATCCTCAGCCTCCTCCTCCTCCTCGGCGTGCTTTCTCTGGAGATCGGCCACGGCCACGGCCAGGTGGGAGGGAGAGGAGGAGGCGGAGAAAGGAGGAGGGAGAGGAGGAGGGAGAGGAGGAGGAGGAGGAGGAGAGGAGGAGGAGGAGGAGGAGAGGAGGAGGAGGATGAGGAGGTAGGGAGGAGGAGGAGGAGGAGGAGGAGGAGGAGGAGGAGGAGGGAGGAGGAGGAGCGAGGAGGAGAGAGGAGGAGGAGGAGGAGGAGGAGGAGGAGGGAGAGGAGGGAGGAGGAGGAGGAGGAGGGAGAGGAGGAAGTATCCACAAGATTGCCCAACACTGGGTAGGGCAGGCCCAGCGCGGCCCGAGACCGACCATCGCCGAGGAGGGCCGCGAAGAGGCCCTCGCCCAACCAGGCCCAGAGGGGCCCGAGGCGGCCAGGGCCGGCCGCTCGACGGCTCAAGCGCGAGCCTCCTCCTCCTCCTCCTCCTCCTCTCCTCTCCTCACTCCGCCCCTCCTCTCCTCCTCTCCTATTCCCTCCTCATCCTATTACTCCTCCTGACTCGATCCGACTCCGACTCGAGCCTCCTGTTTCCTATTCATCCTCCCCCTTCATGCAATACCAGCCTCATCCGATCGGTTCATGAGTAAGAAGCAGCCGCCCCATCAGTTTATCCATGCATCCTATTCCTCCTCTCCTCCTTCCTCCTCCTCCTAATCCCCCGCCTCCTCCTACCTAGTCCTCCTCTACTCCTCCTCCTCCGCCTCACTCCTCTCTCCTGCCTCCTGTTCATATTACTCCTCCTCCTCCTCCTCCTCCTCCTCCTCCTCCTCCTCCTCCTCCTCCTCCTCCTCCTCCTCCTCCTCTTCCTCCTCCTCCTCCTCCTCCTCCTCCTCCTCCTCCTCCTCCTCCTCCTATTCCTATTCCTCCTCCTCCCCCGCCGCCTCCATAGTCACGTCCAGATTTCATTGGGTCTGGGTCGGGATCGGAGCCGGTTTGGGCCCCGCTTTGGTGGCCCAGTTGGCTTCCGAATCGTCCAGAGGTCGACGTCGGAGCGCATCCAAGACGGCATCGTCATTGCAACGTTGAAGAACACCGTGGGCCCGAATGTGGCTCTTGAAAGAGGTGTCCCGGCGTCTCCCCGCTAGGCTAGAATCGTCAAAATATGCGGGTCAAGAGCTTCCGGCTTGCAGGCGAAGTTGGGCCCCAAGGCTCGCACGGGCCGTGGGCAGCAAGAGTGCGCCCCCCAAAGCACACTGGTTGGGTGTAAGGTCTCGGGACCCTCGAGGCGTTCAAGGGTCCCGTGACCCTGCGCCTGGCATCGGGGATCGGGGAGCGGTCCGACGCTCGAGCTTGTCTCGGCCGCCGTCCGGGAGCCCGTCGCGGAGCTCAAGAAGCGGTGCAGGTGCCGCAGCTTCGCGGCGGGAGGGGCCCCCGAGACGGCCCCCAAGGGGGCCCAAAGACGGCCCAGAAGAGGTTTCCGGGACTTCAGGAGGGCCTCCAAGGCAGCCCCGGAGCGCCCGGAGAGGGCCCCAAAGTCCGTTCCGAGGTGCCCCCTGGACGGCGCCCGAAGGCGTCAGAGGGGCCAGGAACGTCAGACGGGCCCGTTGCAGCCCTTCGTGGCCCCCTCGCTCTGGACCGCAGCGAGCTCGTCCGGGAGCCGCTCCTCGCATGGCCCGGAGCTTGGCGAGGGCACTCTGGGAGCCCGAAGACCGCGAGCGCCGCAAGGCTGCGAGAGTCAGGAGCGACAAAAGGACGTACACGTACATGAATCCACGCTGGTTTCGAGAGTACGCATTGCGCAAATGTTCGTATAACGCGGCCGGTCTTGCGGATCGAGGGGCCGTGTTCATGTACATAGCTGGGCGCGTACGTCCTTTGTGGGCTCCCTAGAGAGGGGCCTCCAGGACGCCCCCCGGAGACGGGAAGCGGGGGGGGTGGGTGGCCCAAAAGCCCAGGCACTGTGAGGAAATGAGCGGCGGACGCGCGCACTGGCGACGGGCCGCGCGGAGGGAGGACCGCCTCGCCGGGGAGGACGGCGAGGAGGGAGGAGGGGGATGAGGAGGACGGGGCGGGAGGGAGGAGGGAGGAAGGGAGGAGGGAGGCGGAGGGGGGAATAAGGAGGAGGAGGCGGAGGAGGCGAGAGGGAGGAGGGGCGGGGAGGGCGAGGCGGGAGGAGGAGGGGAGAGGAGGAGGAGGCAGGCGGAGGAGGAGGGGAGAGGAGGAGGACGTGGCGACGAGCCGGGGGCCCCGCTTTTGCCGCACAGAAGGCGGCGCGCCTCCGTCGCCGGGCCGGGCGGCCCTTGGCGTCTCGCGTGGCGGGCGGTGGTTTTGCCTTCCCCGATGCGCGGGTGTGGCGCCCGGGCGTCCTCCTCCTCCTCCTCCGCCTCCTCCTCCTCCTCCTCCTCCTCCTCCTCCCTCCTCCTCCCTCCTCCTCCTCCACCCTCTCCTCCTCCTCCTCCTCCTCCTCCTCCTCCGACCCGTAGCAATTTTGGCTCAAGATGACGACCTGGGGGGCTGTCCAGCCTCCAGGCCGAAGGGAGACCTCTGGACCGAGGACAGTTCCCAGACGGGCGTCGGGCGCGCGCGCGGCATCGCAGCAGCCATGGGGAGTGGCGGCAGCGGACGCGGGGCGGGCAGCGCCTGGTCGGGGACCCCGAATCGCCAGAGGGTACCCCCGTGGAAGAGGAGCAGCAGTGGCAGTCGCCCTCCTCGCAGCAGCTACGTGGTGTGCGACGGGTGCAGCAGATGGCGCTACTGCAAGAACATCACCAGCAGGGGCGACCTCTGCATCTGCGGCAAGAACATCGCCAGCCTCGTCCCCGACGGTCATGTCTTCCGTGAAGACGATGGCGGGTGGCTGGCAGCAAAGCCCCAAGGAGGAACCTCGCCCAGGATCAGCTGGGCAGATGGCTGTCAGCCAGGTGGTGGTGCAGGCGGGAAAGGACAAGGAGGCCAACGCCAGCCACCACCTCACGACAAGACAGTCGACCTCAAGGCAGCTGCCGCAGCAGCATACAGCAAGCTCAACAAGGACGACCCGCTCAGGCAGCACTACGAGGCCCTCTGGCCAGAGCTCGCCGCAGCCAAGCCGCCAGCAGACCAACCAGTTGCTGGATTCAAGGCAGTGGAGGCAGCTGCTCGACGCTTGGACAAACTCCAGAAGAAAGTGCGATCGGCAGGAGAGCAAGTTGAGAGTGCCCAGCAGTACTTGGCCGAGAGTGAACGCAAGCTTCGTGAAGCCATTGAAGCCTCCATTGCAGCCGAAGATGAGTTCGACAAGCTCAAGGCCACAGTCGGCAAGCAAGAGACACCAGCAGAGCCTGCAGCCGAGAAGCCAACTCTGGCAGCCCTCCTGGAACAGTTCGAGCACGAGCCTGACGACTTCCACAAGTGGTCCGAGCCAGACAAGGAGGTCTGGCGGGCAGCAAAGGCCAAGGGCGAGCGGATGGCCCAGACGGTCAAGGAGCACGAGGAGGAGACGGCGAAGCACCTGCGGCTGCTGGAGGAGGAGACGGCCAGGCACCAGGAGCAGCTGCGCCAGCTCGAGCAGGCCCGCACCAAGCGCCTGTCAAAGAGCGAAGAGCAAGACCCACCAGCAGCAAAAGCCCCACCAGGCAAGCGAGTCTGCGCCGCCAGCCCAGCCCCTCAGCGAGGTGCCACCGCATGCACTGAGGCAGCAGGGGCAGCTGGAGCGGCTGTGCCCACCGGCGCCGCAGCAGCTGCACAACCCGGAGCAGGTGCAGCAGAACATGACAAAGCAGAAGAACGCCGAGCCAGAGTGGAGGCCCACATCCAGGAGGCGCGAGAGAAGGTCTCGCAGGCAAGGCGCGCTGAGACAGTCGTCGACGCAGAAGGGCACGGCGACCACTCGGCAGGGTAGCCGCCCCAAGGCGAGCGTGAAGAAGGCTCGCCGCCCGTGCCACATTGACTTCTTCAACGTCACGACCTGGGGGCCCCAGGCACAGGGCTACCTCGTGGAGATCAACAACACCAAGGACAGGGACATCATTGGCATTGCGGAGCACCACCTCCGCCAGCCTGCACAGATAAGCAAGGCAAGAGCGGCGCTCAGGAGGAATGGCATGCACAGCTACTGGACCAAGGCACGGCCAGGAGAAGGAGAAGGCACTCGAGGAGGCACGTGTGCCATCACGCGAGGATCCATGGACATCCAGGACAGGATTGCGGGATTCGACGAGCACTACCTGCACGAGGACGGCAGTGACGTCACGGTGGTGATCTCCAACCTGCACAA